TAACATTAATAATAATCTTGATTTGTAACTATGCAGTTCAACAGCCTGGAGCAGTTGTGCATCAACTTCACCAATGAGAAACTGCAACAGTTCTTCAACCACCACATGTTCGTGCTGGAGCAGGAGGARTACAAGAAGGAGGGAATYGAATGGGAGTTCATTGACTTTGGCATGGACCTGGCTGCCTGCATTGAGCTCATTGAGAAGGTATTTCTGTAATTTACAATGTCAATGTTATTTTCAGAAATGCATTACTTTTATATATGTTTATAAATGCAKATTGAAATGATAAATATGATACTCCAAATACTTCTGTTTATATTATTTTACAATTTGCTGAACAGATCAATCCCTGAGAGCAGTAATATTGTCCCACTCAGGAAGTTATTGCATATGTGAGTCTTTCTGCCTTTTCACCTTGACCTGCYTCCTTCCTTATGCTTCTCCCAGCCCATGGGCATCTTCTCCATCCTGGAAGAGGAGTGCATGTTCCCCAAGGCAACTGACACCTCTTTCAAGAACAAACTCTATGATCAGCACCTGGGCAAGTCCAACAACTTCCAGAAACCCAAGCCTGGYAAAGGCAAGGCTGAGGCTCACTTCTCCCTGGTGCACTATGCTGGCACAGTGGATTACAATATCTCTGGCTGGCTGGACAAGAACAAGGACCCTCTGAATGAAACTGTTGTGGGGCTGTATCAGAAGTCATCCCTGAAAACACTGGCCTTACTCTTTGCCTCTGCTGGAGGAGAGGCAGGTCAGTTATCTGAAATTCATATTTCCATGTTTATTTAATGACTCTACCAGAGCTACGAATATCAGCTATTTTTCTATTCTACATTCCATTCTTATCATGACTGGTACATATGAAAAAACTTGGTCTTTACAAGATGTAAAACTATCTTCTTTTTTTTTTTTGTTTTCCTCAGAGGCTAGTGGTGGTGGCGGTGGTGGTGGCAAGAAGGGAGGCAAGAAGAAGGGTTCTTCWTTCCAGACTGTCTCAGCTCTTTTCAGGGTGAGCACAGAAGTCATTCTCTCTACTTCTTTTATGGGTTTTTTTTTTGTTTAGTTGATTGGTTGGGTGAGTGGTTGTTTGATTGGTTGCTTGGGTGTTTTTGTCATTGCTTTGAGTTGAAGATTGTAAAACCTCACTCCAGCTGCAAGAAGGCCATTTAACGGCATCTGTTAACATTTCTCTGTATCAAGAATATCTCCTTGGTTATTCATAAAAGAGCTGAGTGCAAGTCAGCTGAGGCCAGCTGAGGAAGATAAAACTTGACCTCACCTTTCTTCAAATGTTGGCAAAAGCACTTCGGTCAGGCTACAGTTTATTCACTTACAAGCACACTGGTTTGTAGTTCTTCACCCTTTCCCCTGCTTTGTGAGGACAGTGGTGGATTTGACTACATSCCTCAGGGAATCTCGAGTCTGGATCAGCACATACAACTGTTTGTGCATTTGCACATGATGATGCATAATATATGACGTGGTTTGCACGTGATTATACACATGAAGACAAGGCAATAGAGAAATGCAAGGTACCTTTCCACCCATGGACAGGGCTTGAGGCAGATGAAAACACTCTTGCTTCTGCACTCAAAGTCTGTAGCTATCACCTAGCATATTGAACAGTTTCTCACATTGTGAAAGACATGTCTGAGTAATTTTGCCTCTGCTCCAAATCAGTTCTAAACTGGGATGTAGATAGTAAAAGTAATAGCTAAAGTCAGATAAAGTTCATGGATTTGCTTTTAAAAGCACTTCTTGAAATGGGCACTGTAGGGCCAGCCACTCATCATCTTGCTCTATGATTTCTGACCCCCATTCTCACTGAATAGGGAGTGCTGTCTGTCATGTCCTGCTTAATTTTTATCAAATATATCTTCACAAGTAGCCTAAGACTATTAGGTTTTCTTAGCCTTTGCTGCAAACTTGGTCCTTAACCCTCTTCTGGTTTTGGTTTTGTTTCTGATGACATTAGTAATGTCTTCCACACAGTAAGAATCTGATGATTACAAAAAAACACCTTTTACTCAAAGTTATGCTTTAGCTATGAAAAATTGGTCACCATACTCCATGGGTGTTATGGCTGAGTGGATATATCCTTGTAAAAAMAAGTTGCAAAGTTTTTTGATTTTGTGACAGTCCTGCTCAAGAGTGAAAGACAAAAGAAAACTCACATTAAGAGGGTTATAGTTTCAAATTACAAATCCATTAATGTTTTCCAAGACTTTTCTCACATCTGAAAGTATAACTGAGGAGGTAATATTTTTAATTAAAAAT